CTGTTAAACTTTGTTATGGTCATCGGTTGTCAGTATCATCCCTTTAAAAGTATTATTGATAAGCTATATTTGGAAAATAAATTGTGTTTCGTTTGTTTATTATTCAGCGAGGATAGAATTAAGCCTTTTATGCCATGCGGACATTAATTCATCATTTTTTAACTGCCACGATCAAGTTTTGAGACCTTCCCCAATTTCTTTGCTTTGCAGCAAAAGGGCATTGAAATGAAAGGTGCTGCACACGGCTCCTTTCATTCATACACCGGGTTTTGTCCGTTTAAAGGAGGATAGCCAAATTTCAAACTCCAAGCAAGAAAAATAAAGTTTTTCCGTGTTTGAGTGCAGGTATTACGACAGCAGGAAGGAAGTTGTTTTTTTTTAAAAAAGTTAAACTTTATTTTATGTTTAATTTTTAAACCTTTTTTTTTAGTCCTTTTTTGTCGAGGGGGTTCTCACAATAGGGTTCCCAAACAGTGTCAAAGCAGGCGTACCGGGCGTAAAACCATGGAAAAAAGAAAAAGAAACCGCTTGAATTATTAAAGCTCACACTACAGTGAGCCGGATGAGCTGTGAACGTACCTTCGGCTTGCTGAATACTACTTGTTCAGATGAGCGATCGGCCATCGTAGAGAATGCGTTGTGGCTGAGCCTGCTGGTGTACAGAGAGCTGACGAGTGGAGAACCGAAGCTTATCGCCGCTCGCCGTGTTATTATATGCATGACTCAGGGACACGCCTTTTTTTTCCCCCTCCCAAATGCAAAAAGCAGCGCCAAGGAGTTGCTTCTGCTGGACTACAAAGTGAGAAGTGATGGTGTGCAGATCAGCAACAGACTGTGCGCTTTAGTGTGCATTAAACATGCGTAGCCTTAACAACAGCGAGCAGAAGGATTAATGGCTCTGTTGTCTGTGGCAGCAGCTTTGCACCCATGTGATGGGAGCTTTGTAGCCATCTAATTGGCCTAATAATATAAAACCAGCTTATGAAACAGCGACTTCGTTTGCATTTATTCAAATCTCTGATCACTGAGACCCCAGAAAAGAACAATAATCACAAACAAAAATATTAATTTTGTTGCAATAAACTTCACTTTGGAGCTTTTAAAAGAATCCGTTTACCTCAAGGCCATTGGCCTACTTCAAATGCTTCAAATAGCTGCCTGTGTAAAGTGCACAACCTCCTAATCCCAACAACAGGTTAGACTCTTTTTCTGTCAGCATTAAAAGTGTTGAACTCAGACCTAAATTAAGGGCTGAAACCGGTGAAGTTTATCTTTAGGTTTTAGTTGGGAAACAATAATAATGGCACCATGTGGCAGTGGGAAGCATTATTTTTGTATTTTCAGATTTCATATCACAGAGATAAAATGCTTAGACTTTTAACCAGCTGGTCCCAGTTTCTCATACCACTTACAAAAAATGTAAAAAGCACATTCGCAACTTTGGTTTCCATCATCTGCAGCTATAAAGACATCATGTTTCTCTTGAAATGTTTATCACTAACTTGCATCTCTGAGGCTGTTGTTATCGCGTTTAAAAACAACTTCACATAGATGCAGAATTACTGCAATGTCATTTCTGTCTGCAGAAAGCAGACAACTGGTTAACCAATCTATAAGTTATGCAATGCAGTGACGCAAAGAAGCTGTTTGCATAACTGTTTAACACATAACTGTAACTGATGCACTATTAAATAAAGTTTGAATAAAAGGTATATGAATAAAAACCTCTGGATCAGATCACAGTTCGAGTCCATTTTGATCAACATTTGACTGCATGGAAGCCCCCGGGTCAGTAACACTGCAGCATCAAGCCTCTCTCTAATCTGTTGTTGGATGTTACACACAACATTACAACTGCGTGATGCCTCTGCTGTATCATGTATCATATAATTTGCTTTCTTTTTGCATTTTTTTTAATATGTAACTGAAAGAAATATATATTACTGGATGCATTATTACTGCATTATTCTACAATAAACATGCAATATTATTTGCATTTGGAAGGAAAACGTTAAAGCTTCATTAAACACATTGTCTGTGAAGGTTCTCAGTCATCCAGGTCATCGTAGTCAAAGGAGCTTGCAAAGAAAAGCGTCTGGACTTCTTTAAGTTACTTGAAGACGTTT